CACTAAGTACAAAATCCAGGAAAGAGACATGCGGACAAACACACAACAAACAGAAGAAAAGGTGCACCACAAAATCATGGAACTTTTGATGCTCTATTATGTAAGCAATTTCTTGCGACTTTCAAGAAAGCAACGCAAGCTTGGACTCCCTATGTCACGCCCCAGAACCCAAATCCGGAGACGCAGTAGATGCCGTGCACTTGTGAGACGAGTCCCACGAATGCACAAGGCTCAAAACTTATCCAATTCATAATCTGATACCACCAAATCTCAAGATATAATTTTTTTTACAATTTGCTCTGATATCATAATATCTCTAAATACACTCTAGCTTACAGAATCATAATCTGTATCTAAAATCTATATCAAATTCCAGGTGACTAGCCTTCTAACTCGTCACTCCCCTCGGTTTCCCCCGTCCTCAGTATCGCTTCCTGAAATGGTGGACAAGGAAAACTATGAGATAACTCAGTAAGTAATTATGGATAGCCCTTGGGTAAAACTTTTAACATGCCAGATAAACCATGTAAGTATAACAGAACTTTCACTGATAAACCGTTAATGCGGAAATCAAATTCGGTTCAATAGCAAAACGTTCAATGACAAAATCGCCAATGCAAAATCAGATTCAGTTCAATAACAAAACGTTTCCTGACAAACCGTTAATGCAAAGTCCCGTTCAGTTCAATAACAGTGTTTCATGACAAACCGTTCATGCAGAATAAATCTCATCAGTAGTCTCATCTATAAGTCATGGCCAGTGTTATAACAACCCACTGGCAGGCGACAGAAATTTGCCAATGTATTCGCCCAGAGGCATGCGTCAGAATGAACCGGTCATATCAGTAAACATGTCGACATGTGCTAGCATTACACCCACTAGCGGGGATCGGATGTGCTACACACCCACTAGCAGGGATCGGAAGTGCTAACGTTACACCCACTAGCGGGGATCAGATGTGCTACACACCCACTAGCGGGGATCGGAAATCATGACTATATCAGAGACAAAACCATGCAGGATTCACAATCAAAATCCGTAATTCACAATCGAAATCCCAAATTCACGATCAAAATCCATAATTTCAGAAATAACCAGAAAATTCCATGTGGGCATGGATTTAACAGAAAATCATAATTTACAAAACTCTCAGTTAATCAAAACAGTTCAGTCAGTTCCAAATAGGCATGCTCCACTCAATTTCAAACCAATCATGCTCGGCACAATAACTCCAGAAAAACAATGAAATTCTCACTTTTTCATTCCAATCATGCTCACTTCCAGAAAACAATAATTTTCATGAAAATCATCAAAATTCTCATTTCAGTTTAATCACACTCAGATGCGGATAAAATCAATTAAAAATCAATTTAAACCTTGCCGCCATCTCAAAAACAGTTTAAATCATGCTTTAAAATCGAAGGGCTTTACCATAATTTACTTACCTTACTCGCACAGAACAGAAGGCTAACCCAAGTGCTACGGTGACAGAACGATCAAAACCTAATCACAATATTCCACAATTAATAATCATACCACAAATTCACAGTAAAATCATCATTAGCACTACCCCTAATCACAGTGCTATTTCTATCAATCTCCACATAATCGGACATCTCCAAATTCATTCTTATATCACAAACTAAACCTTTAAATCCCCGTTAATCGTTAACCCTTGGTGTGTGAACAGTGCCTATGAACAGTACCCTGTGAACAGTACCCACAACGTGAACAGTAATTCCAACTCCCGAAAATTGGCCAAAACACTAGCTAATTCACGGGGTTTTCCTCCAAATCTCGCAACAATCATAACAAGCTAATTTTCTACTTAACCCACACTTAAAAACATAGCTTAAAGCTACCAAAATTCATTCCCATTTCTCGGACAGGAAAGCATGGCTTTGGCAAACCACACTCACACACACGGGATTTTCTCTAGACAAATTCACAACAATTACTCAAGTTAATTTCCACTTAATTTAAGCAAAACCCACTTAAAGCTACTGAAATTCCCCCATTTTTCAGTAAAATTCGAACACCACAGAGCAACCACAACAAGGACCAAATTCAGCAAAGGCAACAACCAATTGGATAAAATTCGGACTTAATGGAGGTTGCCAACTTACCAGAATTTTTCGGCAAGCAAAAGCCGGTTCCGGCGAACAGGGAAGCTGACGGATTGGAGAAGAAGAAGCTCACGGCCTACCTCAAAATTGAGGAAAATACAAGCAATTAAAGCAAACCCAACTTGAATCAAGGTCAAAGAGAGGGATTCATGGCTAAATCTTACCAGAAAAAGCCCAAAAACCTCACACCCACCTAGCAGCCGACGGACAAGGGAGCAGAGCAGAGCAGATTCGGGATTTTTCTGGGTTGAGGGAGGCGATTCTAAGCCCCAAATCTTGTGATTTAACAAGAAAAGAAGAGGAAATTCAAGCCTTTTTGCCGAATTTCTCAAGAGGAGTGCGTCGGTGGCTAAGGGGGGGCTTGTCGGGTGCAGGGGAGAAGAAAGAAGAGCAGATGCGCGGATAAGGAAGAAGAAAGAAAGAAAAAGAAAAAGAAAAAGAAAAAGCAATTCATCCTTATCCTAATTTCATTTCTTTTTAGTCCCTCAATTTTTTAAAATTTTACGATTAAGCCCCAAAATAAAAATTTCCCTCAAATAAGTCCCCTAACTTACACTTTAATACTCCAAAAATTTTGGGGTATTACACCCTAGAAAACCAATAATCACTTGTTGACAATCAAACAAAAAATAGATGAATCATTAAGAGCCTACATAGTAAGATTCCATAATGAGGCTGTGAAAATTGAAAAGTTAGATCAAAGCGAAAGATCTACAAGTAAAGAAGCATAAGAGAAAAAGCTACAACGAGACCAAGCCTAGTGGAAGAAAACACATGTTGATTGTTGGAATTCCTAAAGCACCGCTATTTGCATAACTCTGCATCATTCAACAGAAAGCTGCGCAGGAACGAATTAACAACTTACCAGAGAAGTTTCATATCTTTTTACAATATTTAAATAA